CCTCCTCTCTCTCTCTGCCTGCCTCTCTGCCTACTTGTGATCTCTGTCAAATAAATAAATAAACAAAATCTTAAAAAAAAAAAAAAAGATGTAAATTCTTTCCAAACTAACTTATATATTCAACTGAATTTCAATCCTACAGAAAATTTCTTCTAGGTAACTTACAATCACCTTTAAAAAAAGACGATTACGACCTGTATATGAAAGAGTAAACGACCAACTAACAGCAAGAACACTTCTGGCTTATGGAGGGCAAATCTGTCTTACCAGATATCAAGATTTATTATGCTGTAATAATAAACACAGTGAGGTGTGGGCCCAAGGACAGACAAACAAACAAGTGGAATAGAAAAGAACCATGAGAGGGAGCCACACTTGTAGGAAACTTTGGTATCTAATAGGGCATGATGTTAGAATAATGGTGAAAGTAGGAAGAGTTTAAAAAACAAAAAAAAACAAAAAAACAAAAAAAAAAACCAGGAGCTATGAAGTTAAAAATTTTTTTTTTCCATTTGTCACTTGTCTTTGTTTATGATTATACAACAGAGAGTGGATGCTAAAAAGTCATGACTTCTTTGCTGCTGAGTTGTAATTTCAGAATAAATAAAAACTTTTCCAATTCAACAAATACTAAGCATAGAAACTTATTTCAGATTATAATTTGCCAAATGATTCTCTTGGGGATAAAGGAATCCACCATATAAATGCTAAAGCAGCAGTTCTGATCCTAGGAATCCATAAACCTTCTAAAAAGTATGTGAAGGGTGCCTGGGTGGCTCAGCTGGTTGAGCATCTGCCTTCGACTCAGATCATGATCCCAGGGTCCTGGGATCGAGCCCCACATCGGGCTCCCTGCTTGGCGGGGAGTCTGTTTCTCTCTCTCCCTCTACTGTTCCCCCTGCTTGTGCTCTCTCGCTCTGTCAAATAAATAAAATCTTTACAAAAATACAAATAAAAATATAAAAAGAATGTAAAGTTTTGAGTGCATATACATGTTCAGTATTTTTATGTGGGGAGGCTCCAGAGGTTGCATTATCTTCCTAAAGGACCATAAAGATTCCACACACATGCACACACAAATAAATAAAAACCACTATACTTAAATAAACAAATATTTAGATATAACAAATTATCATCAGTAGTTACATGGGAAGAGAAAAAAGTTTCAGCTAAAAGGAAGAAAACAGATATTCACATTTTATGTGCCAATTAAACTTAAAAAATATATTTTTTAATTCTGAAATAATTATAGATTCATAGGAAGTTGCAAACATAACACAGAGTGGTCCTGAAAACATGCATCCAGTTTTCTCCAGTGGTAACATCCTTCATGATTATGATACATCAATCACAGGAAATCAACATGGATACAACCTATAGACCTTACTCAGATTTTTTTACCTTATTTAGTTTTTATACACAATCATTTGTTTTTTATACACAATCATTTGTTTGTATATGTGTAAGTCTATGCAATTTTATCACATATCTAATACTGCCACTATATTCAATATATACAACTACTTTATAACCATAACGCAACTCCCTCATACTACCACTTTATAGTCTCACACCAACCACTAATCTCTTCTAGTTTTTAAGAAAAATATATTTTTAAGTATTCTTAATATTTACGTAAACTCCCCAAGTGCATGTGCCTATATGAGTATATTATATGTAATATATGCGTGTAGATATATACATACGCACATCCATATAAATATATGTACACACATATATATGTGCATATATACGATCTTAAATGCACAGATAATTTCTATTAGAAGATACTTTAAATCCTTAATAGGGGTTTGCTTCAAATAACAGAACTGAAGGCATCAAGGGAAAAGTAAAAGTCTTTTAATTTCTCTTTTTAACCTCCTATACATTTTTAATTGTATACAATCAACACATTTTACTTTTATAATTTTTTTTGTAGAAAGATAATGCTTTTAAACATCCTTTGTGTAAGCTTGATTTTCAGTGGCCAGATTTGAGAAACCACAAGTTCACAATAATGCCCTTTAGACACTTGCAGAGAATATCTAGCAACCTAGGGATGAAAGCAGGGAAAGGAAATTGTGAATAAATTGACAGGAAATCAAATTTGTAATATGCTCTGCTAGATCCGAGATTTTATTCTCTAAGTTTGGTGGACCTCTTTCCACAAAGAAGTTGTAGGTACACATAGTAAAATACTTCTCTGTTAGCAGCAATAGCAATGAGATGCAACTTCAACAAACCACTGCTAGGAATATGTAATATATGGGTAAGACCACAACTCAAGGACCAGAATAACCGGTCTCCTGATTCTCATTAAGCCATATACTAGATATGTGACCTGAGTAAGCTGACTATTCTCTCAAGCCTCATTTTCCCCATTTGTAAAATGAGCCTATGACAATATTCACCATTATGTACCATTACAAGGGTCAGCCAGTTTTACCAATGGGGAATACCTACCAGAACCATTTGTCTGTGTAATGGAAGTTATAAGCCTTATTATCTTTAACAATAATGGATAAATAGATATTAAAGCAATGCAGTGAAAATACCCAAATTGGAAGTTTGTAGGCATGGAATCTCTTAGCTATTTCAAATTCAGTAAGTCATTTCTACTTATTGAAGTTCAATTTATTTACTTATCAATAAAACTTTTCCTGCTTTCTTAAGATCAAATAAAGAACTATGTGTGAAATTACTAGAATATTCAAAGCATTATAAAACTAAAATGTATATAAAAGCCAAAGTACTAGAACTAGGAATGGAAGAAATGTTCTGTGAATTTAAAAGACAGGCATAGGGGCACGTGGGTGGCTCAGTCATCAAGCATTTGCCTTCAACTCAGGTCATGATCCCAGATTCCTAGGATCAAGCCCCACATCAGGCTCCCTGCTCAAAGAGAAGCCTGCTTCTCCCTCTCCCACTCCCCCTGCTTGTGTTCCCTCTCTCGCTGTCTCTCCCTGTCAAATAAATAAATAAAATCTTTAAGAAATTTAAAAAAAGGGGCGCCTGGGTGGCTCAGTCAGTTAAGTGGCTGCCTTTGGCTCCGGTCATGATCCCAGGGTCCTGGGATGGAGACCCATGTTGGGCTCCCTGCTCGGTGGGGAGTCTGCTTCTCCCTCTCCCTCTGCCTGCTGCTCTGCATACTTGTACTATCTCCCTCTCTGACAAATAAATAAATAAAATCTTTTTTTAAATAAATAAATAAATAATAATTTAAAAATTTAAGAAAGAAGAAACTAACAGACACTTTAGAGTTAGCTGAAGCCATATTTGAATCCCTGGAATTAAGAAGATGGGGCTGGAGTCAAATTAGCTTTGTTAGGGCACCACCGACATCTTCATTTGTAAAATGGTAATGGAAGTAGCACCAACATCCCAGAGTTGTGAGGATTAAATAGGATAATGCAGGTAAAGCTTTTAGAACACTTCTTGACACATAGCTCCCATATTTTATTATTATTATTATTGTTGTTGTTGTTATGCCTGAGTTTCTTTAGCTGTAAAATGTGGGGTAATACCTACTTAATAGAATATAGATGAAAAATAAATATTAGTAGGGCATATCAAATAATACTTTCATGGAAGCTGATTATAACAACAAAATTAAGACACATTGTCCTAATATCTCTAACCAAATAATCTGTCTTTTCCAGAATATCCTGTATTGTTGTATTATTTTTTAACTTTAATTTTATTATTGTTTTATTACTCTTCTATTATTTTTCATATACAGTTAGATTTTCTTTCATTTTTCATCAAATTCATTTTTAACAAACTAACAATCACACTTAAGAAAATTTACTAGGTTGGGAGCAACATATTAAAAGAGACATTTCAAAAAACTGCATTTAGAAAATTTTAACAGTATTTTCAATAAACTTAATGTAAAATAGCTGAATTCCAAGTCAAGAAATAAGTTAATACTTCACAGCAAAATAAATACATTAGAACCTACAACTATTATTGGGAGTGTTCTTTCAGCTAATTATGGTTTAGTAAAGAAAAGAGAAAGAAAAAAAATGTCCCACCCTACTGCTTCACTATCCTTTTTTCTCCATCTTCCTATCTTTGGATAAAATGGAATCATTAAAAGGGTGAGTAACAGTTTTTTAAAACCAAGTTACTAATTGCTATCATCTACTTTCTACTATTTAGTATTAATATTAAATTTTAAAATATTCCCCTATCCTCTTTGGTGGCTTGTTTTTTTGTTTCTGTTTGGTTTTTTAAATGTCCTATGAGGAGCCCATAGAAAAAACAATGATTTCCTTGTTTTCCCTCACATAAAAAACTTGTATTAAGGAAAGCATTTTCAGATGGAGTGGCCATTATCATACTGCAATTCACTGGTCTAAATAACTCCTACAACATCAGTTCCAGTAAAATGACATTTATTTTACACACACCTGTATGACTGACTTTCAGTTCTTCTAATTACCCAAAAGTGAAGTCCAGTAAGAATTTTTTAGGATGTCCTATTCTGGATTCTGCAGGAAAACTTACTCTCTTAAATTCTATTCACACAGAAATTAGGTAAAGAGTCCACCATGCTGGGCCATGAGTAGAATGCAAAGCCATTTTCCCACAAACAAACCTCACATACAGGCAAGTTACTAATTTAACACTGGGGCTAAGAGGTAGTTTGTTTTCCCAAACAGGTTATCCTAATTAAGATTTAAACTGAAAGAATATGTCAAAACAATTCAGCTATGCCCTAGAAGATCTAAGAGGTATCAGGCTTTCAACAACAAATGACATGTCACTTTCTTTCAGGGACTTACTTATTTACTAAGCATTTTGGGCTAATGACCAAAGACCTGTCAAAAAAAAGATTATAAAACAATTTTAAAATATTGGCATTAAGATGGAAAATGAGGCTTCTTTAAGTAAACCAAGGCCTGCGTCGAGATAACTGCCATGCAAATGTACACTATTTAAAACCATTTCAAATAGGAAATTAGAATTGACTCAAGAAGACAAATGTCAGTACTCACTTTTTTATTTCTCGGAGCAACATTCGGATAAGGATGGTCTGAAGTGGTTCAACCATCAATTTTCTCCACATATCCAATGCTAGCTGCCAGGAAAAATAATCAAGGATGAATTACCTAGCATTTGTTTTTAACATTTACTAAAATGTTGAAAGACTTTTTAAAGCAAAAAGACACATCAAGTATTTAAAACTAGTATTTCAAAAGTCAAATGAAAGTGGAATATACATAAAAAATGAATTTCTAATTTAAACTGAAAATGAGTATCAAACTTGTACAAAGAACAGAATTAAGGTCTGAACTAACTGAAACTGAATTGAATTCAACTGAATTAACTGAAAATCTTAAAGAAATACTTGATTTGATTTTTATAAATCATAACTTATTGATTGTTAAATGCCTGATATTCTGGAAAGGCTGTATAAATGCTAAGACTAAGAGAATCAAAGGAATTATGTTAAAGTAATTTGGCTGTTGGCTGATTTTTAAAATTATAAAACCTCTCATACAAACATAAAGGGTAAGCCAATTAAAAGAATAATAAAATACATCCCTGTATTCACAACCCAGTTTAAGAAACACAACTTCCGGGGCTCCTGGGTGGCTCAGTGGGTTAAAGCCTCTGCCTTCAGCTCAGGTCATGATCTCAGGGTCCTGGGATCGAGCCCCGCATCAGGTTCTCTCTGCTCAGCAGGGAGCCTGCTTCCCCCTCTCTCTCTGCCTGCCTCTCTACTTGTGATCTCTCTCTGTCAAATAAATAAATAAAATCTTTAAAAAAAAAAAAAAAAAGAAAAAAGAAACACAACTTCCCTATTACCAGTGCTCTGAATGTCCTCCTACCTTCCCCTCAGAGGTTACCACAACCCCGAATATTGTGTTAAATCATTCCCTTGCCTATAGTTCTACCAAATGTGTACATATCCCCACATTTTTTTAAATTTTAAGTCCCGTAGTTAACACACAGCACTAATTTCAGGTGTACAACATTGTGATTCAACAATTCTAAATATTACTCAGTGCTCATCAAGATAAATGTACTTTTAATCCCCTTCACCTATTTCACCCATCCCCTCACCCACTTCCCCTCTGGGGAGTGAATGAACATCAGTTCATTCCCTATAATTAAATCTGTTTTTTTTTTTTTTTTTTTGCTTTGTTTTTTTCTCTGACTTATTTAACATGGCATTATACACTCTAGATCGATGTTGTTGCAAATGACAAGATTCATTTCTTTTATGGCTGAGTAATATTCCTTTGTAGATACAGACCACATCCTCTTCATTCATACATCTATCAATGAATGCCTGGGCTACTTGCATAATTTATATTGTAAATAATGGTGCAATATACACAGGGGTGAGTATGTTTTTGCAAATTCATGTTTTCATTTTCTTTGAGTAAATACCCAGTAGTAGAATTACTGGATTATAGGATATTTCTGTTTTTCATTTTTTGAGTAACATCCATTCTGTTTTCCATAGTAGTGGCCATCAATTTACATTCCCACCAACAGCCCATGAGGGTTCCCTTCCACATCCTCATCAAAGCTTGCTATTTCTTATCTTTTGGATACTAGTCATTCTGACTAGTGTGAGGTGATATCTCATTGTGGTTTTGATTTGCACTTCCCTGATTATTAGTGATTTGAGCATCTCTTCACGTGTCTGTTGGTCATTTGTATCTCTTCTTTGGAAAAAGAAAAATGTCTATTCGGGTCCTCGGCTCATTTCTTAATTAAATCATTTGGGTGTTTTTATGTTGATTGTATAAATTCTTTACATATTCTGGATACTAACCCCTTATTTGATGCCATTTGCAAATATTTTCTCCCATTCACTGGGTTGCCTTGTTTTATTGATGGTCCCCATTGCTGAGGAAAGGCTTTTTTATGTTGGCGTAGTCCCAATAGTTTAATATTGCTTTTGCTTCCCTTGTCTGAAGAAATACATTCATAAATATGTTGCTAAGGATGATGTCCAAAAGAATACTACCTACATTTTCTTTTAGACATTTTATGGTTTCATGTCTCACTTTTATTTTTTTTTTTAAGATTTATTTATTTATTTGACAGACAGAGATCACAAGTAGGCAAAGAGACAGGCAGAGAGAGAGGAGGAAGCAGGCTCCCCGCTGAGCAGAGAGCCCGACGCGGGGCTCGATCCCAGGACCCTGGGATCATGACCCGAGCCTAAGGCAGAGGCTTTAACCCATTGAGCCACCCAGGTGCCCCTCATGTCTCACTTTTAGATCTTTAACCCACTTTAAGTTGATTTTTGTGTATGATATAAGGGGTTGTTCCATTCATTTGCATGTAGTTGCGCAGTTTTCCCAACACCATTTGCTGAATAGATTGTTCTGCATTGCATATTCTAGCCTCCTTTGTCAGACATTAACTGACCATAAAAGCATGGGTTTGTATGCATGGTACTTTATCTTGTTCCACTGATCTATGTGTCTATTTCTGTGTTAGTACCATTTTGTTTTGATTACTACAGCTTTGTGAGGTAGTTTGACATCCAGGATTGTAATACCTTCAATTTTGTTCTTCTCTCTCAAGACAGCTTAGGCTATTTCAGGTCTTTGGTGGTTCCATACAAATTTTAAGATTATTTGTTCAAGTTCTGTGAAAAATGCTATTTGTATTTTGATAGGGATTACAATGAATTTATAAATTGTTTTGGTATATCCTTGTGGTTTTAACCAGCATCTTCTTGTTTGAGGCTGGGTATCTTTTTATACGTTTATTGTACATCTTAGTTTTTTTTCTGTGAAATGCCAATTCATCTCTTTTGCCCATTATTCAGTCGTATTTATCTTGTTCTTAATAAAAAGTAGGAGTTCTTCATCTATTATAGAAATTAAACCCTTGACAGTTTTATATATTGCAGACATAGTTTGTGACTTTACTTGTGAGTTCCTTTATAGTGTTTTTTTTTTGAGTAAAAATAAATTATATTTTAATGTCTCAAAGTTATCAATCTTTTCCTTTATTGTCTGTATTTTTCTTGTCTTTTAAGAACCTCCTTACCCTAATGTCAGGGATGTGTGTGCTCTTATATTGCCTTCCAAAAGTTTTTATGTTTTGCCTTTCATATTTAAACTCCAATATATTTTTCCCATAAACAGTACAAATTATTCCCGTATCAAAAATTGCTCCTCTGTTTCCAACATAATTGCATCTATACAGCCATTAGTCTGGTTTTAGCCTCTTTATTCTATTTCCCTGGGGTAACCTTATTCTGATCAATTAGTAATTCCATTTCAAATAAGTAAAAGCATCCGCCTTCCCACAGGGTCCATTCTTCAAGTTTTCCCTTATTTTTTGTTTTTTAAATAGCGCAAACAGGGAAAAAGGTGATACAAAAGAAAATGAGATGTTATAGCTATAGTAGGAGAACAAACTAAGAAGCCTTTTGAAAGCAAGCTGGAGGGGTTATCAAAATTCAGTGTGTGCTTGGACCCAGAAAATCCACTTTTGGGTACTCACTCTAAGAAAATTTCTGCTCATGTACAAAGATTTATACATAAATGTTAATTCCTTAAGCATTAAGATTTGTGTCTACTTTGTTCACTATTGTATTCTCAGCATACAGAAAAGTGCCTAGGACACAGAGGGATTAAAAATATATTTAATAAATGAATAAATGAACAATGATATTCACAGCAGTATTGTTCATAACAACAAAGAACTGAACACTAAGAAAAATAGTTTAATAAATGATTAAGAAATTATTGTATATCCCTACTACAGAATACTGAACTCTCAGAAAAATAAACATGTGCAAAGAACTAGACACATTAACCAAAAAAAACAAAACAAAACAGGTAAGAAATACAAGTTGCAAGATATATGGTATGCTATCATTAGGGTACATAGGATATGATACCATTAATGTTTAAAATACAAAATTAGGGCGCCTGGGTGGCTCAGTGGGTTAAAGCCTCTGCTTTCGGCTCACGTCATGATCCCAAGGTTCTGGGATCGAGCCCCACATCGGGCTCTCTGCTCAGCAGGGAGCCTGCTTTCCTTCCTCTCTCTCTGCCTGCCTCTCTGCCTACTTGTGATCTGTCTGTCAAATAAATAAATAAAATCTTTAAAAAAAAATACAAAATTAAACCATTACATGCACAGTATAAGTATTTATATGCAAATGCACAGGCAAAATTCAGGGAAGACATTATTTATGGTGATTTCCTCTGGAAGGAAGAGTGAGCTTGATAGTGTTGGTGATAAGGGACAATTATTAAAATATTCACTTATAATCCTACAAACTAAAGCAATTATTATTTCCTACTGAACTGTTACTCTACATCCTTTTCCCCTTATAGTTTTATTCCTATTAAACATGTACTATGTCCGAATTTTTTCATTAAATATTTTCCCCTTTATTAAAGTTACTGTGAACTATTTTTTGCCTTCATAACAAAATTGTACTGTACGTATTCATCTATGTATGGTTTTTACTATTGAATATTAGACATTTAGACTGCCTATGCATTAGTCACCCTTATTAATAACAATGATCTCAAGGAATACTTTTATTTTTTTAAAAAGATTTTATTTATTTATTTGACACAGAGAGAAAGTGTGTGAGCATAAACAGGGGGAGCAGCAGGTAGAGGGAGAGGGAGAAGCAGGCTCCCTGCTGAGCAAGGAGCAGATGCAGGGCTCGATCCCAGAACCTTGGGATCATGACCTGAGCAGAAGGCAGATACTTAACCAACTGAGCCATCCAGGTGCCCCGCAAGAATACTTCTAAATATTTAAACTTTTTTCCCCATTATTTATTATTTTCATAGTACAGATTACCAGATATGGGACTATCTGGTTAACAGTACTGCACGTTTTAAAGTCTACTGAAAGACAATGACAGGGACGCCTGGGTGGCTCAGACGTTAAGGGTCTGCCTTCAGCTCAGGTCATGATCCCAGGGTTCTGAGATCAAGCCCCACATCAGGCTCCCTGCTCAGCAAGAAGCTTGCTCCTTCCTCACCCACTCCCCTTGCTTGTGTTCCCTCTCTCACTGTGTCTCTCTCTCTGTCAAATAAATAAATAAATAAATAAATAAATAAATAAAATCTTTTAAAAAAAGAAAGACAATGACGAATTTCTTTCCAACAGGATTATTCTAAGTAAAATTTGTACTAATGCCACATCTTAGCTGTTTATTTCTTTCATTAACACTCACCACAATTTCACATTAATTTCTGTACTTATCTGGCATGATAAGTACCTGAGGACAGAGACCCTCTGTCTGTTCACCACTGTATTACCAGTGTGTGTCTACTCAATAAATACATCTTTATTGATTGATGATGATTTACTGACTGATGAATAAACAAATACTGTATTGGAGTATTTCTTTTACAACCCATATATGTTTTTTGTAACTTTCCACATTTAAATTTACATTTTACCTCAAGAATCTGAAAGAACTACCTGACTTCCATGCTTCATTGTTTTACTCTGAACTCCTTTAATTACTTTTTAAAGTTAAAATAAATTTGTTATATCCATAAATCTGTATCTCTTCTGTTTTAGGATCTCTTTTAAGCCTAGGACCTTTGCACTTTTTTTTTTTAAAGAGAGGGAGCATGCAGGACATGAGGTGGGGGAGGGGCACAAGAAGAGGGGGAGAGAGAGAGAAAATCCTATGCAGACTCCACACCCAGCATGGAGCCTGACACAGGGCTCAACTCCACAACCCTGAGATCATGACCTGAGCTAAAATCAAGAGTCAGATGCTCAACCAACTAAACCACCCAGGCGCCTTGACCTTCGCACTTTTTAACTACAAGAATCTCAAGAGTATTTCCTAAATACTCTTGGAAAATATTTTCTTAAAGACTTTTTATGAATTTTTCACATAGTGGAACTATTAAACTGTCATTTATTCATCTATCGTTAATTATTAAAATAATACTAATCATATCTCTTCCGTTCTCATCTATGTAAAGATTCTTAGGAAATCGCTGCAGTGTTTTATTAACATTAATGATGTTTTAAATCTTGACAATTTTAAGACAGTCAACATGGTGTCCTTAAAATAAAGGAAAATAAATTCCCTCAATATATATGAAAACACTCTCACATCTGCCAGTCAGGTAAAGAATTTCCTACCTCTCCTATTTCCATAAGTGGTTCATTCATATCTACACCACCATAGCCATACTGAAGGTCAGCTTCTGTCAATTTATTCTTTTTAATAAACTGTGTGTTGAGATACCTGAAAAACAAATATAGTACCACGGACACTATATTAAAATCAGGAGGAAAACAAGTAACGTGCAACTTGAAAATAACAATTTTAGGGTTATATAAATCAACTATAGAAGAGTGTGGTAACATATCCAAAGAAATTATGCAGAAGTAAGAAATACAATTTAAAAGGCTCAAAAGTATCAGCCAAAGGCTAAGAGCAAAAGAATAACCTCTAGAGTAGGAGAAGAAAAGCCTACTACTTCAGTCCCACTTTTAAAAACTCAAGGGTTTTGCTCTAAAAATTTCCAGTACTCATATAACCCAACAGCTCCTATCCAAGGTGCTTCTACAATCCTTCTGTAATGTAATTTGCACATTCCCAGATTCTTCTTGGTAAGTCAGGATAGTTCACTTTGCAAAGAATTAAACAAAGAAATAGAGGTAAAACTCAAGTTAGTTCTTCAATTTGTATCTATCACCAGAAAAAGATGTAACTTTTCATTTTTAAACAACAACAAAAAGAGATCACAATTAGTAGGTAAGAAAATGAAATAGACTGTTATATACAGAAAGAAGTATGGGCAAAACTGACAAATGTAAGATCACTTCGTCTACCAGAGGAAAACAGCTTTATAATGTCTCAACATATTCTAAGACTAATAGCTGTATTGAACTCTACAAATTACTGAGTTGAATATAGAGTTCTTTATAGAAAATAAAATGTGTAGAAAGGGCTCAAAATATTCTAGCACTCACTTTTCGCAATCTTAGATTTCACTATAATGCCTATAATGCTCACCACCTAAAAGTACTGATTTGAAAAGTTCTGCCATGTGTAAATAGCTATAGACAACACAAATAGGCAATAACCACAAAATCTCTAAAGTAAAACACTTTCTAGCGTTCACTGCATCAAAATGTGAGAAGTCTACTTCATGTCTGCAGACAAATGAAACTGGAAACAAAGACAACAAAAGTTTCAACTGCATAACTTCACAAACAACTCTAGGAGACAATGAGAAACACAATTCCTGGAATTAATGCCAAAGCTGTATAGATAGAACCACTTACACAAGTTGCACTCCGACACCGACTGACTACAAGCCTCTAAACTCCAAGGCTTAAAACCCTGGTAACTCCCTTGGACATTTTAGTCTCCTCTACCCATGTTACAATGTCCTATTACATCTTTCCTCCAAAATGCCCATTCATCCTTCCTTCCATCCTCTCCAGTAGTACATCCTCCTAATTTCATGTTGGGTTTTCAACCATGCCTTTCATCTGAAGAAAGGGAACAGGACTGAGACAGAAATAAGAGCTAAAGAGAACATCTGTGCTACCTGGCCTGAAACAGGGATATATAAATTGAAGAGATATTTTAACCTCTGGCCTCTGTCATTCAGGTCTCAGCTCAAACACACTTCTCTCAGGCCTGACCTGATACCAAGCTAAATGAACTTTAACTTCTACTCCGATTTAAGTAACTAAATATAACTGTTTTATATTCTTCACGGTACTTACTACTTTGTGAAATAAATCCAATTCTCTCATTTGCTTACTTGCTCTGTACATCTGTTGCCTCTCCAGAATACAAGAACTACAAAGCAAAGACCCTGCTTACACAGCATCCAGAACCAGTGGCAGGTAAATATGAAGTCCTCAAAAAATACTTCCTTGATGAATTACTGAATACATAAATGGACAACATTCCAGACAGCAGGGATAATAAAAGCTAATATTAGAATACAAACGTAGAAAAGCAGCCTGGTGCCAGATCATAAAAACACAAATGCCAAGAATTAAAAGTATATCACTAACATTTACTGAGTTCGTGTCACGTGTCAGGCATACCCATTTTATATGGCTGCATACTATGAGCTAGATAAGTGTGGTATTATCGTAAGATCCTCCTTTAATATGTAAGAAAACTGCAGCTTAGAAAGCTTAAAGAACTTGCCGAAGGTAAATCTGCTAGCAAGTGGCAGAGCTGGTACAGAAATTTCACAAGTTCTCCCTCACTCATTCAACAAGTAATGACCAAGCGTGAACTTTAAATCAGGTAGTGTGCCAGGCCCCAGGCACAGAAAGATGAAAAACAAAAATGTGGGCTTCCTGCACAGAGTTTACACATCTGGTAGAATATACAAATGTAAACAAATATAATATTTCAACAGTGACATGTGTTCCCTGAGTAGTGGGACTTTAATTGTCATATCTTTACCATTTATATGTGCCTTCCTTTATGCATCCTTTGCACCAAACCAAGTTTGTCGCACCAAACCAACACCAAAAAAGTTTCTTTTTTGGTCTGTGGTACCATGCCATTCCAGTAATCTCACTAAGAGATTAGAAACATTTACCTCTCTTCCTTCCACTTCACTCCTTTAATCAGCTGCTCTTCATGTCCTAAACTGCTACTCATGCTCTCCCATTACTTTCCTTTTCTCTTCCAATGCCTCTCTGCTTGGATCATGTGCAACACTCCCATGACTGGTCTCTACTTCCTGTTTCTGCCATCTCCAATTCATCTAAAAATTACTCACCTATTCAGAATCCTGAGTAGCTCCTTTATACCTATAGAGTAAGTATAAACTTCTTAGGATAGCGGTTTGTTAATGCTGAACAACCAGCTGCTAGATCTGCAGAGGTCAGGAATCACTATTCCGTTTCAAAGATCTGTATGTATATTCTTGAGCCAGCATACTGCTTTAGTGGAGCTTTATGTCTGATATCTGACAGGATAAGTCACTATTCTCTTTACCTCATGGAATAAAACAAACTTACAATTAACTCTATCTTTCTCATTCCAGATTTCTACTCTTGATGTTAAGTTTAAGCTTGATAGATAAGCTTTTAAAGTAACTTAAAGATTTAACTTAAAATGTAAACAGCACAATTTTTCATTTTGATGTGTGGATACAATTCTTAATTTCTGTCACTGGAGTATTTTACAGTCAATTTTATTCATCACACATTTGTTTTTAAATAAAGACATACATTCTAGGAAATCATAAAAGAAATCAGGTTCCAATAATTTCTTAAAATATTTTATACTCTACCACACAGGCAATACCATGCTGTTCCGCTCACATATAATGCAGTAGTTTTTATAATTTTTATAATGGTTTTATAATTTATTTCATCAACAAAGTGTTTAGTAAGTATCCTTTGCTTTCCTGGAATATTAGCACTGACAAAATTAAAAATAGTACTTGACAATAAGGAATAGCCAAAAGTAACTTTGAAGCCTCAGAGAAACCAAGTATTTCAATCTGTCTTAGGAAATTCCATTACAAATTGTTCTCATGCTAATACCTACTGGATTTCAAGAGTTGTTAGTTCTCCAGTTAATATCTTATGTACTCCACTTCAAGAGCCAGCAGGATCTAAAGAGGTATGTAGTACTGGGAAACGTGAGGCAGGAATATCATTATTTTCTTTAAAGTCAGAATCCTTAAATTACCTATGCTAATGCATATCCATTTTATAAATCAGTCAGAATAAAGAAGAGGCTAGAAATTACTTGAGAAAAATATTAAAAAATACTTTTGAAACAAAAATGAATTTTTCCTTTTTATTTCTTGACACAGATTTCCTTACAGAGTATGACTAAAAGCTAGCCTTGATAACCTCAGTACCCCACAATTAAAAACTATCATTAAGCAGTTTTCATCTAATTACTGCCAACTATATCCTCTATGAAAAGGATCTTACCATCTATTCTACCAATATAATTAAATAAATGATGATCAGCCACAGTGGTCAAATAAAATTCTCTATAAGTGAATCCCAGGAGCCATTAATTCTAAGTCTTTGCTAAAGACAGTGGAAGGTTACTAGGTGATTTCAGAGTGATCCGATCTGCATGTTAGAAAAAATAACATGAGTTCAGTAAACAGAAAAAATTTGAAATCAAAGGCTGGAAGACTGCTTATAGGGACTTATCATTAATAAGAGAAACAACAAAATGCTTACAATGCAAAGGAAATAATGAATTTAAGAGACATTTGGAGGACCTGACCAATAGGGATCAGGTAGAGACGATAACCGTAAGTGAAGAAAGGATAACTGAGGCTTCCGGCATCTACGTCTGGATGTACAGTATCATTTCCAATTAAAATTAGTAATACTGGGGCGCCTGGGTGGCTCAATTGGTTAAATGTCTTAACTCCTGATCTCAGCTCAGGTGCTGATCTCAGGGTCATGAGTTCAAGCCTTGTATTGGGCTCCACAGTGGGCATGGAGCCTACTTAAAAAGTAATAATATAAATAATAAAATTAATAATACTGGGGACAGTGTGGATGTAAAAGATAATAAGCTCAGTTTTGAAATCTGCAGTACTACAACGTACCCATGGAATACCCTGAAGGTACAGGCAGGCTAGGTAAAAAATACTCCTCTGAAACTTAGGCCACCTGGGATAAGCCCATATTTTGGTGGTTAGCAGTATACAGGTAGTAGCTAAAACCAGGAGAAATTGAAATCATTCTAGAAAGAATGCGTAGTTTAAGATAAGTTATGAGAACAGAATCTACCTAAATGACTAAAAAAGTGTATTTAGAATGAGACTAAAGTAAAATGAAGAAGTTAAATAGGCTTAATTGGACTGATCTGGGTTTAAATTGTGATTTTTTTTTTTTTTTTTTTGGTAGCTGAGTAACACTGAGCAAAATCATTTAACCCCTCTGAGCCTAGTTTGCTCCGCTGCAAATCTGGTGACACCAACTACCTCATACGGTTTATATACACACATACATTTATGTATATATCATATGTATTTAATAAAAGCTCACTAACAGTACCAACTTATTATTAATATTTGTATTGATTTAAATAGTACCAAATTATTGATTTTGGCAAATAAGAGATACAGACAGATGCAAGGAGAACCTAGGAAACAAAACAAAACAAGAAAAACAATTTAAATCTTTATGAAAATGTCTCAGCTCAAGAGGGAACACACTGCACATAGCATACTGCACTGGCTTATAGTCTAACTACTCTCTTAGACATCTATATACCAGTGGCCCAAGCTTCTCAGCAATGCCAAAGGTATGCATGTGTTCTCACTCTTATCCTTAAGATTCCTCTAATTCTCCTCCACAATTTATCTAGGGTAGTCCTAAAAGTTCTATTTATGACTATCTTACTTTGATGGATGAAGGAGGGGAAAAAAAAAAACATGAAATGTCAAGATGTTTAATGTATGGCAAACACCGTTTTATAAAAGCCAAAGCCACAGTAAACCTTGTGCTTGTCAGAAACTGCTGGCTTCTGATTTTATTACATTTGGCTCTTCTAAGAAGAAATAAAAGCTAATGGCGGTTGAAATAAGCTCCAGTTTTCAACAGAGGCAACTTAAAGTAAACTTCAGTGTTTATAAAAACCTACAGGAACATGAACCACTGAAAAAGGACAAACACGCCATGAGAACCAAGCCCTAGCCTCAGTGTGGTACTCCAGCAATGCATGGAGTAACTATACAGACAATGCTCTGTCAGCCAGCTTCACTCCTGAGTTTCTCACTGGGGAGAACTGAGGAGTTTCTCCCCAGTGAGAAACTGAGGCAGGGGTCCATCTCTGCCCAGGCCACAATGCATAGGCCAAAATTATCGCCTCCATCATAAGCCACAACCATTTCAAGAGTAGTCACTCTCATTCCAAGGGTAAAAAGCCCAGGTGACTTAACAATACTATTCCTTATTTATCCACTATTCTTCGATAAATAGGTTTCTGCCTTATGTACCCAGGAATTTATTTCCATTGTCTATGTGAACGGGTTAGAGAGGATAACCACAGAGTACCACAGAAATATGCCCGAGTGACAGTTAACACAAAAGATCTAAGTAGGAGACTGGGTAGAACAAGGAAGAGAGGGAAGTTCAGAGACAGGAATGGCAGAAAAACACATCAGAATTAGTCACTTAGAGAAAGGAAGACAAGCAATTCACACAAGCAATCCAGACAGATAAGGGAGTACAAGGAGAGACAGGAAAATGTGAGAGAAGGCATTATGACACTGTAGGTAATTTAATATAATGCCTAAAGGATAAGGTAGAACTTGAAGAGAACAACTGTTGAATGCTTTAACTAGCAGTGTTTCCATGAAACATAAAATACTGGATCTTACAGTTAAATAAGAACATACTGGAGGGGAACATGGGCTTGGATTTACTTCACCAAGTTTCATCCAAGCTGAAGTTGCACTTTGGAACTCTGTCAAGATTTAACATGTGCTATATATAGAGAGAAAGAGAGTCCCAGACAATATGAAAAAAAAAAAAATAGAACTATGAAATTAAATATAGTTTTAGTTTTCAGAGAGTAACTTTCCATACCCTGCCTGGCTTCCAAAGACCCACATGACCCCGACTACAGACCTTTCTCCATAGCAGACAAAGCCCATTGAGCAGAGAATGCTTTAGTTTTGTTCATTTATTTAAAAATTTAAAAACAAAAAGCCAAAACCAAAAGTCCTTCAATTACTGAATACCCACAACACTGCTTGGGTTGTCAAGAGTTTAAAGGTGTACTTACCTATACAAGCAGTCCATATAGTCTGCACCTTTGCTATATTCCTCCCAATACCTATGATACATAACAAGTACTTGCTCTTCAGACTCCAGAACTCTCTATATAAAGAAGAAATACATTTTTACTTGGAAAGCGCTACTCATTTTCATTTGTAAGCTATGAAATTTATCAAAAATTATTTTTAAAAGTATTCTAAATTACATTTACAATTACATTCTAATTTAACTACTTTTAGTAAAACTTAAATGGCCGGGGAAAAATGTGTCTTAGATATGAAAATAAAGCATCCATACTAGAGAGTAAACAGTTCCATTCTCTAAAAGGATAAAATGTAATGGTGTGAGGTATCTTTGGGCTACAATATTATACTAAGATCAGCTTAAAAGAGAATGTAATTCTACTGCCATGTATCTGTGTGATTCCTCAAATCCCTCACTTTTGGTCATCCTGCTAGTTATATAAATATATCATCACTCTGAATTACTCAGTTATGTTAGTAAGACTATTTATGAAAATTTACAACTTTTCTATATTCCCCAAATAAGCTGTTTTATATTTACTTAACAGAAATCTATTACTTTTTGAAAAATAAAAATATCAAACTTAAACCTGAGATCTAATTTTTTAAAAGTTATTTTTGAAGGAAATCTAGTCTAACAGTAAAAATACACTGGACTGACATTCAAAAGATACCAGATTCTTTTATCTCAGTTCTTTCATAAACTGTCCATAGGACTTTAAGCAAGTCATGACCTTAATTTCCATCTAATTAATTCTCTGCTGAAATGCTATGCTTTTAAATGTGAATTTTAATAATTAAGGCTCAGGAGAAAGAAAGAGCCTATAATTAGTATTTTTTTGCCTGTCATTTTAATAAATTAATTAAAAATAGCAACTATTATTAATAACACTGGGGGGAAAAGCACACTTAGAAACTGCTGCTGCTGGGTGAATAAATATGAGAAAACAATAAAAAATGTTTATGACCTATGACTTAATAATTCTATGTCCAGGAATTTATCCTATAAAAAACTTGGCTACACAAAAATAATTTAGCTACCAAGATATTCACAGAAGTACTGTTTATAAAAACAAATTATATATATTGCAAATAATCCACATGCCCAGCAGTATGAGAATATTTAAACAAATTGTAGTATCTCTACACAATGAAAAATTTTACAATCATTGCCAGGATTATAAAAGTCCATTTAATGACAAAGAGTATTATAATAATATTAAAATAAAAAAGATTATAAAGTGTATAATATGATTCCATGCAAAAATAGGCAAAGGACAAATATCAAATTATATATATTATCAACATATGCCAAAACAGATGTATTTAAGTATAGATATTCAAAAATATTCACAGTAGTTAATTCTGAAAACGGCAATGCAATACTTTAGTAATTAAAAAAGTTCCCTCCCCCAATCAAACAAAATTTTCTTCTCACAGGTGAAACTGCTTCAAATCTGTTGGCTATGTTAATAATTTACTTTGTCATCAACTATCAGCCAACTTCTTTTTTGTCACAGGATCTGAGAAAATATATGGTATACAATTATGTAAGTATTCTAAACTTTCATAAAACTATTTCACATTACTTTAAAATCCAATTATACCAATGTTCATTTCCTAGTGTTAATAATTGTACCACTGTTATACGAGATGTTAACCTTAAAAAGCTGGTAAAAAGGATATAGGAATTTTGTATTATTTTTACAACTTTCCTGTAAGTCTGAAAGTATTTCAAAATAAAACATTAAAAAAAAAAAAAACACAACCCATGCTAAAATATAAACCTTGCAAAATTTGTAAGTGCCTTACACAGGTAACAATTATGGGATAACCAAAGTTCACTAGATTATCACAGCAGAACTTTAAAACTAAATTATGAAACATTATAAGAACAATTTCAAGTATCTATTATCAAAACTGCTTTCATGAGCTGATAAATTATAGCACATATTAGAACACTAAAATGTATCTGCCATGTATAATAAAAAGTAGAGCATTTCCTTCTAAAGTTTTAAAAGGGAAACATCACAAGATCAATTGTGCTCTGGGGTTATCACCACTTTAAAATTTATCTGCACCTAGCCAAATACAAGGTTAGACACAATATTATACAGTGTTATTGTATCTCCATTTAATTTTTATTTTATTTTATTTAAATTCAATTAATTAAGATTATTGGTTTTAGAGGCAGAGTTCAGGGATTTATCAGTTGCATGTAACACCCAGTGCGCATTACATGAAGTACCCTTCTTTTTTTTTTTTTAAAGATTTTATTTATTTATTTGACAGAGAGAGATCACAAGTAGACAGAGAGGCAGGCAGAGAGAGAGAGAGAGAGGGAAGCAGGCTCCCTGCTGAGCAGAGGCCCAATGCGGGACTCGATCCCAGGACCCTGAGATCATGACCTGAGCCGAAGGCAGCGGCCTAACCCACTGAGCCACCCAGGCAACCCATGAAGTACCCTTCTTAATGATCACCCAGTTACCCCATTCCCCCACCCTTCCCCCCCAACGACCCTGTTTGTTTCCTAGAGTTAGAACAGCCTCTTATTGTTTATCTACCTCTCTAATTTCATCTTATTTTATTTTTCCCTCCCTTCCCCTATGATCCTCTATTTTGTTTCATAAATTTCACATGTGAGTGAAGCCATATGATAACTGTCTTTCTGACTTATTTTGCTTAGCATAATATCCTCTAGTGTGTCTCCATTTTAAAGATAAAGAAACTTAAATTTCAATCCATAGGAAGACTGAGTTGCCCATGGTCACACAGCTAATGAAGGGTAGAGTCGTTTCTAGCCCAGAAAATAAGTGATCTCTTCCAGTTCCTGATCAGATCAGTAGTCCAAAATAAGAAATACTGTCTATAGCCAAATCCCGTAAATTCTTTGTTCATACAGAGATCAAGTCCGTGATGTTGCCCTTGTACATATGGCATACTAACTAAAATAAGTGGTCACAGGTATAGTTTCTATCATGCTTTTTAATTTACCATTTCCCTTTTTCATTTTAGGTTTTTGTAAGACTTTATGTAGAAGAGGCAGCTAAATGGCTGAAAATAATAAAGACAGAGATTTACCAAGAGGTGGGAAGCAAGAGTAAGAGAAAACTTGGTTCTAATAAACACCATCCGGAGGACATATAAGCAAATTTTAAAGTTGAACAAACCTTGATTTGAAACTCCACTATTTCAGTTACTAGTTATATGATTCTGAATAACTAAACTGATTTCCCTTGGAGAATCTAACATAATGCTTAACTCACAAACCTTAAATTATATAATAAAAAAAAATGCTATTCAGAAAACAAAGCAAATAACCTTAACCTGATATAAGTTCTGCACTGGAAAACAGTAAACTAGCCTAATAGTAACTACCCAGATACAAACATATTTGTATCACATATGTATTACTTCTTACCTTGTGCAAATGCCGTACGTGATTTTCCAAAAAAATCTTAGTTTCTGTATAAAGTCTTTCTCCAAGGGGTTCAGGATAGGCCACACATAAAGCATAGATATCTCTAGTTAAATTGTTAAGGTTTTCATATTCAATATTGGAGATACTACTTTAAAACAAGAGATTTAACTCGTTTGTAATTTAAAGTTTTTCAGATAATTTAAGATTATACAGATATAGAAAAAGTAAAATATATGTAGCCAAGCTTACTCTAAAAAGCCCTGTGTTATTCACATACTCATTCAGCAAATATTACTTGAGAATTAGACAGCATTGTAAGGAAAATGGTTCTTCTAAAAGAGCTTAAAATTCACAGCAGCATTCTGTAAAATCAAATTACCCAGAAACCTACAAAATAAGGCTTATGTAAGAATGGACATAAGCATAATATCAACAAAGGGCTATGGAATATCACAAGCAGGTATATCTATGCAGTTGTGAGAAACAAAACAATTACAGAAATTACTCATTTGACACAGTCTCCCACATCACAGCACTCATCAGAACATCCTATAATCCACACACTATCCTTTGGTATTTACTCCATAAGAAGAATTATACTACGAATAGAAATATCAATTAATCAATTAAGTTTCTGAGTACCACTTTGGTAAGTATCACAAATGGGAGATATGCTGCAGCAGACAGTCCTTAAACAGAAGTCAAAGGAAATGGGATCTGATTGAGACTTTTTAGTTTTACTAGCCAGTGATCTTGACCAAGCCTCTGAACCCTTCTGTGTTGCCATTTCCTCATCTCTAAGTTAAAGATAATAAATCCTCTTTTGATATCTCTACAGAATCCTTTTAAGACCCAAATTAAGTTCATGAATGTTAAAGTACATAAACTGTGCATCACTGACCAGACGTTGAAGAGGAAGCATACATGAAGCAATCTGAGAACAGCTTAATTAGAGATGCAGATAAAAACTGAAAATAAGGTTGATTATTTGGGATGGAGTCAAGTATTTAATGTACCTAATATATTTTTATTTATATTATAAATATATTCAGCATACTTAATATAAGAATTGGGATGTATTTAAAAATAAAAATTTTGCTTAAAAATACGGAGGTTGGGGGGCACCAGGCTGGCTCTGTTGGAAGAGCATATGACTCTCAATCTCAGAGTTGGGAGTTCAAACACCACCTTGGGTGTAGAGATTACTAAAAATAATAATAGTGGGGTGCCTGGGTGGCTCAGTGGTTAAAGCCTCTGCCTTCAGCTCAGGTCATGATCCCAGGGTCCTAGGATCAAGCCCCACGTCCGGCTCTCTGCTCAGCGGGGAGCCTGCTTCCTCCTCTCTCTCTCTGCCTGCCTCTCTGCCTACTTGTGATCCCTGTCAAGTAAGTAAGTAAAAATCTTAAAAAAGAAAATAGTAAACAAAAAATTTTAAGAAACTTTCATTATAAAAAGATATAGAGGTAGGATGAAGACTGTTCCTCATCTATATCTCCGTAACATTTTATATATTTTTTCTATAGTACTTTTATACAATAGAAATTATTAATACCTTTGTCATCCACACCAGCCTGTTCTTAAAAAATCATCTCTAGATTCATAGATGCAAGGCACAATTCCTGACACATAAGACACACTTATTAAACACTTGGTGATGAGGTAGGGAATCAACATCATGTGCTCTATTTACCTAGTATCCTTACTCCAGAAAGAACAAGCAGCCCTCTCCATTATGAGGTCATGGATGGGTAGATTTTGGTCAGACTTTTCCAGGTTCCTTCTAAATCCTTTTATTTGTTTTCATTATACATAATTAGTAAATAATAAAATCTTAATGTATATATGTATACATTCTTCAATATACTACTGCTAAATATAAACAAAAAAATTTTTTACAGTTAAACACAAAGAAGCAAAAATATCCATACAGTGTAATACTGTTGTGCCAGGTTTTTTGTTTTTTGAAGATTTATTTATTTATTTGAGAGACAGAGACAGAGAGTATGAAGTGGGGGGCAGAGGGGAGAGAGAAACAGACTCCCAGTTCAACAGGGAGCCCGACTCGGGGCTCAACCCCAGGGCCAGGACATCATGACCTGAGCTGAAGGCAGATGCTTAACCAACTAAGCCACCCAGGTGCTCCTGTGCCAGGTATTTTTGTAGAAAAAAAATATATAGTAAAGAAACACACTATTACGATTACTTTAAATCAATCAAGATATAATGAACCTCTATAAAATAGATTAAGTAAAATAGTACATAAGAACTATTTACTAAAAATAACATAAAAATATTAACCTATATTACAAAGAAAATAGAAATTTTAACATACATCATCTAAGAAAAAATTTAGAAATTTATCTGGACAGAAATTCTGTAGAGAACTGATAATAGTTTGGGGAGAGAAGGAACAAGGTATGAATAAAGAAGGAAGGTGCTCCAATATAATGTACTAAATGAGCTCCTGGATCCAGCTTGGAGGTTTTAGCTATAAAGTCCTCAGGGGGAAAAAAAAGTCCTAATTCACCACATAAGAGTTTTATCATACATTTATACTCAATCTCAATTACTCATCACAATCTTACCCTAGTAAAAACTGATATAAAAGTGTTGTCAGAATTAAACATATTAGAAGAGAGTAGTTACCCCTAGTGACTGAGGGGGAATGTGGGGTACTTCTGGGATCCTAGGAGTGCTATCTATTGGGTACATGGGTATGCTCATGTTATGAAAATTCACCTGTATGTTACTGTGTCAGTGTGTATACTACACTTAAATGTATTTTTTTTAAATAAAGACTAAACTTAGACAGGATCTAGATCAATTCCTTTGGCAAAGGTGTGATGCACTTAAGATATTTAAGTTCTGAATACCTACTTCAAGTTTTCATCTATCATATTTGCTCTACCTTTTTTTTCCCTGAAGCCACTATACACTTATTTCTAAAATACACAACTTGATATTGAAAAATCAACATGATTCAATACCACAATTTCAGTATGATATTCTAAATTATGTGCCCAAATGTTCTGTATCACCAAATCTAGTATCTCAAAATATCCACTGCATGCACATGTAAACAAAATTGGCTAAAAGGACTCAGGCTACAGGACTTACCTTCCTTCCATTTAGGGAAAAAGGGTCTGTGCAGGGCAGGGAATACAAGGAGACTTTCCCATTTCAATCCATATACAGGATTTATATACTGTTTGACATCCTCAATGAGGATGTACTTGTGTCTTTTTTAATGGAGTCTGCCTTAATAAATCTTTCAATTTTTTAACTCACCATAGTTTGGGGTCTCAGTTAACCACTGTATAATGTCATTTAACTATCTAAAACATATTCCTAAATGTGCTATTTTTCTCTAACCTATTCAAATATCTAACCACCTTGGAAATACTTAAGCCTTGAGAAGAGCATCCAACCCTCTACGATCCAATTATGATTTGGTTTTAGAGAAGGCACTTTAAAAAACAAAAAATGGGAAATAACTGGAGAAGGCCAGTTTCAGATTTAAACACTCTTTTCCAAAGTCATCTTTTCCTTATGTCACTCTTTAGGGAGCCAGGATATAAAAATTCCTCTATTATGAACTTTCCACTTATAAAAACTCTCATAGCCAAAAAACAAAACTGTTCCAGAGCAAAAGTTCTATACTCTGTTACAACCAAAAGACAGTGTTGGCCAGAAGCAAAATCATTTATTTTATTTTCTCTATTAAAGGTGTTACCTTTGCTTGGGTTTAATTTTGAATATTAACACTATCAATTTTATTGTATAGTGGGTCTAAAACAACGAGTTCTACAATGGGGATGTAAAGATTATCCACAGCAGTGGGACACACACCATCAACCATTTTCTAAGAAATCTTCCCCTTCGGAAATGAGAAGTAACACTGTATTATTATTTTGGGTGTCTTGACACCAGGCTGCAAAATCCACCTTCTTTACTTCTGTCTCTGCTGTCCCTCAACTCTTCCTGTCTAGTCTTTTTCTGTCTGGGCTCTCATCTTCTCCTCCACTACCCTAGGCCTTCATCCTGTGTGTCCTGATCCTGCTGGGGGTCACTGTAGATGCTCTGATTAGAAACAAGAAAAAGAGGGGGACCTGGCTGGCTCGGTCAGTGGAACATGAGACTCCTGATCTCAGGGTTGTGCGTTCAAGCCCAATGTTGGGTGTAGAAATTTCCTAAAAATAAAGTCTTTAAGACAAACAAACAAAAAGGAAAAAAGGAGGGAAAAAACAGGGGCAGAAAACCAAGCCATGGAAAAGAAGTATACATTGTATGTTTACGGGTTCTTATTATGAAGGTACAGCTTGTAGGAGATTTATATGGATGTGCTTTTAAGTTATGTATATTACATCTAACAAGAAACAAATTTTAAACAGTGCTGGTAAATTAAAAAAAAAAAAAAGGCGCCTGGGTGGCTCAGTGGATTAAAGCCTCTGCCTTCGGCTCAGGTCATGACCCCGGGGTCCTGGAATCAAGCCCTGCATTGGGCTCTCTGCTCAGCAGGGAGCCTACTTCCTCCTCTCTCCTCTCTCTCTGCCTGCCTCTCTGCCTACCTGTGATCTCTGTCTGTCAAATAAATAAATAAAATCTTTAAAAAAAAGAAAAAAAAAAAGGAAAGCTTATCTTAAAATTGAAAATGGTACAATGACCAAAAAGGTATTGACAATAAAAAAATACAGATCTTTATTGACATTTCTGAAGAAAAAGAATAAACATGCAACATGTAAAAGATGCAGTATCTATGAAATCATCAACTAGCAAGCAAGGGTACAAATTATTGGTTAAATGGAAAAACTTTAAAGTATATAGATACAGGATAACAATAATCAAATATTCGTCTGATTTAATTTGGAACAGAGTGAAAATGTTACTGATGCTTCAAGCAGAGAAAACTACAGATAAAACCTTTCCCAATCTATACAATCAAAGAAAAAATTATGGGCTACTAATGCAGGCGCCAAGGTTAATAAGTTCTACTAAAATCTGTGAGGATCATCAGGGATGGAATGACCTACTTCAATATTTTTCAATGTAGTCAAAACTGGTCTATGTTTGAAAAGATGCCTAACAGAATATATATTAGAAGTG